CGAAATACACATGAAGGTACTACAACGTCATAAAAATAGTATATAAATGTTCTTGATTAGTTGTAGTCACAGAGACTCTATAGTACTCATCCTTAGAATCAGATTGAAAACCAGTGATGCCAAAGTTCCTTTCACAGTAAAAAGGGTTCAATTTCTTGTACGACTTTCTTAAAATAAATGTCAAACACAAACTTTTTATAAATTGGGGATTCAACTGCATCAGCTAGTTTGCACTCACAGTCAGTTGTTTTTAGTAACAAGAACAGGAGCGCAGTAGAACTTTGTGGTCAGAGTGTTAATGCTAAACAGGTATAACATCCAAGGCATGAGACATGGTGTCACATAAACCAGAAATATCGTGTATAATGAAGTCTTGTCGTAGAGTAGGCAGAAGTGAACAACATCAAATCAAAGGAGCAAATGACAAAAGACACCGCGTAAGGGCTCCGAGCATCCTCTCGGGTTTCAAACATGCTTCAATTTTTCAAATTAATAAAAATAAATAGGCAATAAAATCAGCTCACGACAGTAAATAAACACCGGACTCTGGAGCCTACACAAGACTATAAAAACCATTCATTCAACTCGACAGAAAGTAAAAAGACACGAGTCAAACTCGGCTTCTTGTCTTTCTCTTCAAAGCAAAACTCAGCTTCTCCCTTTGATCTTCTCTCCTAAATCCGCTGAATGACTATATTCATGTTCATTTCCTTACAGTCAAAGAAAAGAACTTTCTTTCATTTCATGATAAGTAATTACAGTTAAAATGTGTACATTCAACGTTTAAATAAATATTTTATTTGAACACGCAACAATCTTTTTTATCATTGTTTTTATTCAAGCGGTGACCCAAAGATGTATCTTTTCCCAACACTGTGATACCAGTTAATTGGCTCTGTAGCAGCATCAGGGGAACAGTCAATCTTAATTAGTATGTATTCCATTAGCAGTGTAGAAATTTCTACCATTGTTTCTCTTTAAATATTTACGAACTTCAGAGTCTGTCTATATTTCTGAGATGAGGTATTATGTACATTATTTACATTATTCGGACTATAGTCCTCATCTTTGTCGCCATATTTATCACAACGTTTCGGCCGTTGTACGCTCCGGCCTTCTTCAGGTGGTTGGAATATCAAGGACACATGGCACAGTGGATAAAGGCGTTGGTTAGATCCAGTGACAGGACCCAACGAGTGTGAGTTCAATACCTGGTTAAGGCAGTGGAGAACTTTCAGAGGGAAATTAGCAGGAGATAACTGATAACTGACATCCATCAAACATGGCACGTGGAACTAAAACAGTCTATCCCAGTGAGCAAAATAAAGGGTTCAGTTCGAAATTCCAACTACCTGAAGAAGGCCGGAGCGTACAACGGCCGAAACGTTGTGATAAATATGGCGACAATGATGAGGACTATAGTCCGAATAATGTAAATAATTTACGAACTTATTCATAATTCCATTCTTTTGTTTATTCTCATGTGCCCTAATCGTAATGTATTATGGGACATTAAATTATAGTTATTTTTAGCAATTTGATAGCATTTCATATTTCTACCACAATGTATAAATGAAAATGAATATAATTTCATTGTATTTCTTTGACCCCACTCATATTCTAAAAATCATTGTAAATTGTTAAAATTTTTATAAGAACATCAATAATGCAACAATCTTTGGAATAAAACTAGATGCATCATAAAAAAAAACATTTTTATTGCTGTCTAATTCTAATGCACGCGCAAGACACATCTCCAAATTACACATAACCCATGCTTCAATTGAAAAAATTAAGAAAGTAATTCTAATACTACCAACCAATAATTTATATTTATTACGTTCCATTTTATAGAGAATGATTTTCAGATTATTAACGAAGCTGTGTGTCTTACCACATTTCAGTATTTTTAAATGAGACTGTGTCACTTTTCTTATAATGGTCATGGGTTGAAACATATACAGTGAATTATAAAAAAAATTATTAGTAAATTTGTGTAATTTATGTGAGCCAGGCTTCATGATGTTTGCGTCATCTTCCAAAACAATTTAAAATGTACAGTTAAAAATCATAAGTATTTTCTCCTTACGTCGAAATATTATGAATTCGACTACAGAACTCCTTGTATCTTTATTTCAAAATAAAAATCGGTTGATAGTCATATTTGTTGGCTGTGTTGGGCTAAAAAAAAGTTACGTTTTATTAGAAAATTTTAAAATTTTCAAGTGGAAAATACATTTGTCAATAGAAAGAGATTTTTAAATTCACAAGTAAGTATGAATGTATAGCGGCATTGGAAATATGTTACAGTCGCATTTATAGTAAATATAATTCTAATATCTGTATAATTTATTTTCATTTTTTACTACATACTTTGTTTTCATTTAATGTGTAAGTTGATTTTCTGCAGGCGTATATTTTCATAGTAAACAGTCTGATTATTAAATGTTGGTACAAATGGACATGTGTCTAATATCGAAAAAGTTAATACATTTTAGTAAATGTCATTACTCACAATTTACAGCAGAAAAGGAAATAACAATGTATAAATTTAGAAAAAATGTCATGCAATTTTTATGCATTGTTTTACCTCTGTCCTCTTTACTCATCATTGTGTAAAGGCAATTAATAACATTTTTGAATTGACTAAAGCCTGTTGCCGAGTCGAGTATTTATCTATAAACAAGGAAGACAACTTTAACTATATGTGATTGTATGTATTTGTGTGTGTGTATGTGCGTATGTGTAAAAATTCAGATATATATAAAATATATCTGTACAAAGGCAATATGAATAAAAACAAAAGAAAGAATTTGTGTACCAAAGCGTTTTGTTCGCTGGGTTTTATTTTGCAACATGTGTTTAAAACATAAGTAAAAATTATTGCTGTGTTGACGGATTCAACCATTTTCTTTTGATTTCACGATATTGTTATGTACGTTTGTTTGGGAGAGAAGTAACAGCAATAATAACAATATCTCCACACGTGACAGTAATTGACGTAATTTTCAGTTAACAGTATGAAAATAGTGTTCTCCAAATTCTTCCAGTTGCTAAGGACATTTTCTTTTGTTATTATTAGTTATTTTGTTTAAATAAATTAATTTCGTTTTTTGCCTTGAGAAAGTCCACATTGGACGAAACGCGTCAGGAACTATTACAGATTTCCTATTGCTATATATATATATAGAGAGAGAGAGATATAAGAGTCCATCATATATATATATATATATATATATATATGATGGACTCTCCCGTCGAGTTCAACATATGAGGCGCCGAGGACCACGAACTAATTATCTGCATGCCTATGACGGGCATAACTTTTGAGACCGGCTCAACTTCACAAAAAATTACAAACAGTACAGGGGAATGTACTGTATCCAAGTGCGGCAGAAACACTGTTAGCTGCCTCATTTTGCTTTTGTGTTTCACGCAGTCGAATGATGCTTACTGCTTGATGTTGCTTTATTCCTGCATATCAGCTGGAACGACACTCTGATCTCTTCCTAGCTACTTCTTCAAAGTTCTTGAATGGAATGTTGACTCATCAGTCTATCTTTATACCTGAGCCAAGATCTACCAACATTTCTATAACCACTATAGAGAAAAGAACTTTTGGTATGCGATCATCACTCACCCTTGCCACATGGCCATCCCAACATAGTTGTGATTGCATTATGAAGGTCTCGATGGTACCAATCTTGCATTTCTCAAAAAGGTTGGCATTTGACACTCGATCATCAAACGTTAGGCCACAGATTGTAAGGAGACAGCCTTTATGGAACTCATCTAATCGATTCGTGTGTCATCTATAAGGTGTCCAAGCTTCAGAGCCATACAGAAGAGTTGAAAAAAACGACAGCTTTGTACACTTGGATTTTAGTGTAAAGCTTTATTTCCCTTTTGTCCCACGAACCAAAGGAAGCGCTTGCTTTTGTAATGCGATTAACAATCTCGTCATCAAGTGAGGCTCTTGAAATTTACCATATTCCCGAGGTATTTGAAAGATTCCACATACTTGAGATTCTTTCCATCAACTTGTAAAAGGGCATCAGGAAACTTACGAACATGGGTCTCTGTTTTACACCTCTAATTTGCTTCGGTGTCGGGAAAGTTTGATAAATAATTTCAGTTTTCTTGATGCTGATGATAAGTCCAAATACCTTGCATTCTGCAGAAAATCTTGAGCATCCTCTAAAGAGTCTGCAAAAAGTAGATCGCGTATAATACTGGTACGTAGAAGTGTAAATATGATTACTATATTATATATTTACATATAAAATTATTCAATAATATGAATTTTGAACTTTCAGAAGCCCCCCAAAATAAATAAAGAAAGAACAAAGGCGAACTACGATCTGGAAAGAAAAAATAAAGCTAATACAAGAAAGGCACCTTAACAAATGAATTTTTTATTTATTAATCCGACAAATTTTATCTTACTACTGATTTCTTAGTGGATACCTATAAATAAATATAATGTTTAATAAGTAAACGGAACGGAACATCATAGGTATCCACAAAAGTAACATTTAAATAATAAAGTCTGTCTGTTTAAAAAATGTCCATTACTTATTTAGAAACTGGTCAGATATGAATGTTTCGATAATTTTTTAACGAAATTTGCGTTTAAAGGCACTATTCGGCTTTGCTTAATCAATGAAACTCTAAAAAAATACATCGGATCTAACGACGGTTTCTCCTGCTAGTTAGAATCCTGCCGGATATTTCTCTAATATTCAGGCCCGTAGACGAAAATAAATATATTGTTTAATAGATAAACAGAAAGTCTACTCAAATAGGGGTATCTACTAGAAATATATGTATTTGCATGTGCTATTGTTAGTATATACATATATATTCACATGAATATATATATGTGTATACTAGAATTTAGTATATATATATATATATATATATATATATATATATATATAAAAACGATTAGTGGCTGTGTGTGTGATTGTGAGAGATAAGGAGAGATAGAGAGAGCCTACCTGTAAAAGGCACTCGATTCGTTCCAATACACTCGGTATTTTGGGCTCCATTGATGAAGACATATCGATTAAAAGATAAACTTCATCCTCTAATACGGTACCAAACACTGACCGGCTTCCTTTTTTCAACCAGTTTAATCTATAAAAGCAAATGCCATTTAACATCTTATGATAAATGTCCGAACAATGTCAGATATTATTTTAAAATATTTCTTAAATATTTATCAATGCGTGACTTTTTTTAATGTTACGTAAATTTCAACCATTAAATTGCTGATTTGATTTTCTCGATCAGGCAGTTTAATAAAAACTGTCTAAAAATGGATTTAGTGCCATCAAGAAATGAAGGAAATAGTATATAATAATAATAATAATAATAATAATAATAATAATAATAATAATAATAGTAATAAATATAAATAAATAATAACATAAATGGTGAAAGAAGCTTCTTCCATAAAAGTAGTGAAGGTAACATGTGCCAGAAAAACCAATTGTTAAATGAAAACTTGACTGAAGAAAGGAAAGTAAAAATATGAAAGTGAAGAAATCGCCCTATATATTCGATTATACTGCGAGTTTTTACGATCAGTTTTTTTGCGCAAAATATAGGGGCATTTTTTTGAAGAAGTTAAAAATCATTCATTTTCGGCAAACAGTTACACTATACACAGGTAAGTATTTTTCCGGTAAAAAAAGAAGTAAAAATGAATGCAAAAAATTCAAGTGTGGCACTATCCTTGAAGTCGAGTACATAGAGTATCAAATTTGGTTACATCGAAGATAATTATTTTACTGCGCAGTTTTGTTGACTACCATTTTTGTGCGTAAGAAAAAAAGCGAAATGATTTGTTGGGGTCAATAGAAGCTCACAGAATCATTGTACGCGAATAAAAGTTCAAAGAGTATGAATGTACTGATTGCTTTACAGTACAACGTTTGCCTATTGACAATAAGCTATTGTTAAGCTTTCAAAGTGTTTCAAACATTCTAGTACAATATCAAAAGGTCAACTAGTGACTGGGAGGCATAAGAGAAATGACTTATGAATTATGATATTAGTTTTTAATACAGACAATAATTAATCCCGTAAGTTTCTTGAGTCGGATCCTCACTATCTTTTTTAATTTGAACCAAATTTTGTAAATATCTTTTCGGTGGAGATAGTAAGAATATGCCACTTTTGCGGGTTGAGTGGGAATGTGGTGTTTGGAAATATTCATCATTCCCTCGGGACAGGAAATATGGCATAAAAAGCTTGTCTTGTACCCAGACACCAGTAAATACTATAATTCTCTTATTTAAATTTGAGTATTATGAGTTTGCACACGTAAACGATTGCTAAATTTCTTGTGAACAATACGAAATTATATCTGCGTGAAATTTGAACAATGTTTATTTGAAAGTTGAATGACCAGCCCTTTTTTAGACTCAGAAAAAAAATTAGCTCGTGTTCTGTTTATTTTTATTTTTCAATTTTCCGAGTAGCGGTAAAGGTAGATGTTTACAGTGTAAGGGAAAAAACTTGCATATAATGTCAAAGCAGTTAGTTCCCTTAGATTTATAAAATACAGAATAAGTACAAGATTTCTTGTATTTGTTTCGTTTTTTTATCATTTTGCTGTATTTAATTCAAATTTTCAACCTACTTTCTTAGATTTCAATATTTATTATAGGCTAGATCAAGACAAAAAAAAAATAGATCTTTTATTGGGAATTACACTCACTATACTAGCAAATCAATCTATATGACGTACTCACAAACTATTATTCATTGCAATAACGCCATACGGTAGATGTCTTTCCTCCCTCCATGCTAATTGTTTGTTATTTATTGATTTTATTTCATTTATTATATATATTGTGATTATTTATAGCTATATATTCATTGTTTATTATTAGTCTTTCTGTATTAGTATTTATTTGTTTTTTTAACTTTTTTGGGTTTTTTTTGTTTTATTTTTACTTTCTGTTTTTTCTAAACTAAAGTTATATTTATCAACTTTGCATTTTCTACTCTCATTCATTTTACCAAGTGATTGATGTGTATATCAAACTATTATGTTTTTTATGTAAATTCTGAGAGGAGGTACGCGGTAACCTCATCATCCTGGCAAGCCACTGCGTTAGTCTGTTTGAATGTCACCATGAACAATAATTACAACAGAAATCCTTGCATGGAGTATTGCTGCCATATATGGTCTGGAGCACATTCTGTTTGCCTCGGGGTTCTTGATAGACTCCAGAGGCGGATATGCAATATAATTGGCCCTGCTCTGCCATCTCGTCTACAGTCACTTTCTCACAGACGCGCCGTCGCCTCTTTCTGTCTGTTTTATAAATACTTTCATGGCAATTGCTCCGAGGAGCTGCATTCACTGGTTCCCAGACTTCATGAATTCAAGCGCCCGACGAGGCTGGGATCCCGCTCTCATCCTTTCACTGTCGAAACTCCTAAATGTAGCCGTCTCTTCTACTCCAATAGCTTCATGTCTCGCACCTCTCGCCTTCCCTATTCCAGTTTCCCTGAGAGCTATAATCTCCAGCTATTCAAATGTAATGTCAATCGACATCTCCAGTTCCCTTGATCTATCCACTACCCTTCTCATCCTTTCTTCTATCACTCCTCTCTGATCTTGTTCCAAATTTTCTGTAACCTCTTGCGTCCTAGTGGCTTCCCGCCTTGCTTGGGGTGAAACTCTTAAAAAAAAAAGAGATACGAGGGACGGTGAAACCCTCAGGCCTGATGTCGCTCACAATATAAATGACACTGGGGAAAAGAAGCGCTATTCCAGTACTTTTAGTGTTGGTAATGACACACTACTGATGTTTCTGGTATGGAAAGGTGCAAGTTGTCTTTACGGAGCGCTACTTGGAACGTTAGAAGTCTGGCAACTGGAAAACTCAATGTTATCAAAACAGAGATGAAGAGATGTGGTGTCAGCATCCTTAGGGTGGACCGGTCAAGAAAGAATTACAATGAACAAGCACAAGTTCTACTACTCTGGGAAAGAAACACGAGAAGAGGTAGATATGACTTCCTGGTGGACAAATTTACGGCGAAAGCAGTGCTGTGATATAACTCTGTCAGTAATATGGTCACCACACTAAGGATTAGCGTCCACCCAGTGACCATCATATATGTACAAGTGTATGTTCCGACATCAGATGATGCGGAAGAGGAGGTCGAAGAACTGCCCGACAAGATATCAGGCAGAGATTTCCATGTTATTATGGGGGATTGGAATGGCAGATTTAGAACTGTCACATAGGGAGGTATGGCGTTGGTGAGAGAAACAAGAGTAAAGACCGTCTCGTGGACTTCTGTATAGAGAATGACCTGGTTGTTGGCAGACATGCGTGCCGTCTATACACATGGATAAATCCTGGTGACCAAAAAAGGAACCAGATTGATTATATTCTGGTCAGCAGAAGGTGGAAGTTCAGCCTCATGAGTGTGAAGACATAAACAGCAGCAGATTATGGAAGTGATCATCAAATGATTATCTGCACACTCAGGGTGCGACTGAAAACCGGGATGAAACGATAAGGATCAGCAAAGTTTGATGTAACGCAGATACCAACCAAATTCTGCGAAGTTGTAGAAAGAAGGTTCCATGCAATTTATGCCAGCCCGGAGAGTGGAGGTGACGATGAAGATAGTGAGCAGCTATGGATAAAGATGCGTGACATTGTTCACGAGACTGCAAAGGAAACTATCTCATTACGAAGTCGCCAGATGAGACTGTGGTTTCAGCGTATGCACTTGAGATTGCAAAGGAGCGAAGAGAAGAAAAAAGCAAAGGGCAACCAGAAAGAGTGGAGTAGACTGAAGAATGCTTAACATCGAGAAAGAAGCGAGTGAGGACATTGGGGAATTACTTGGAAGGGAAAATGTACAAAGGCTCGAAATAATGAGAAGAATGTAAAGAAGGTTTTACAGTTTGTAAAAGAGATAACTGGGAGGTGATCACCGCATATTGACGTCATCATTGGCATTAATGGTGATGCCCTGACGGAAGCAGAAGAAATAAAGGTCAGGTTGGTAGGGTACTGCGAAGGTCTATCTAGAGATAGCATCGCCATGGAGCCACGGGAAAAGATCATCTCTGCTCTTCGAAAGATTAAGAATTGGAAGTTGCCGGGAATCGACAACCTCCCTATATGGAAGGCTACTGTAGACACCGTAGTTAACCTGATCTGGCGAATCTGCAAGGCGATATGGTTGTCTGGTCAAATAGCCCCGCAGCTGATATAGAGCAGTCTTTGTTCCTTTGCCAAATAAAGGAGACTTCAAGGAGTATGGCAACTACCGCACTATCAGCCTGATAGTCCACGTGAGTAAGGTTCTGTTGAATGTTATCCACAGGTGAATAAAGACAAAGTATGCTAAGGTGAGCACAGAAGAAAAGGATGGATTTGTAGATAAGTGAAGAACTAGTGAGCAAGTGGTCAATATTAGGATGGTGATACACAAGTGAAAGTATCATAATATTGCATTGTACATGTCCTTCACTGACTAGACCAAGCATTTCATTGTGTCAGCCACTCCCGGCTGTGGTAAGTGATGCAGAAAATGGGGTTCCTACAACACATTGTCTGCCTCATCAGCAGTCTCTATAGAGATCAGAAATCCACTGTGAGTTTAACAGACTGGTTTCCTATAGGAAGAGATGTTAGGCAAGGCTGCATCCTATCATCGATGTCGTTGAACACGTACAGTGACGACATTATGCGGAATGCATTGGAAGGAATAAGTTTAAAAGTTTAGTGGAAAGAACATTGATAACATACGGTTTGCTGACGATATGACCCTCTTCTCGATTTCCAAGTGATTTCAGTTCCGGGTGAAGTCTTCTGCTAAACACCAAGAAGATCAAGCTAATGGTGATTGACAAGAGGTCGCACAGACTTCACAGAACTGGAGGACTTTATGTAGCTGGGATCCACCATCAATACCCAGGGCAACTCTACGCGGGAAATCAAGAGAAGGTTGACAAGAGCAACAAGTGCTACGGTCAAAATGGGGAAACATCTGGAATAGTCGGAATACACACATAAGCTTAAAGTTGAAATTACTATAAGCCACTGCTTTCGCCATCACCAGCTATGGATGTAAGTCATGGACACTGACTAAGAGGGAAAAACACTGGATTGATGCTTTCGAGATGTGGGCATATCGCAGAGTCATTAGAGTGTCATGGACAGTCAAACTCACTAATAATGGGGTGTTAGATACCATCAGAACACGGTACGTATTGAGAGAGCAGATGGCACTAAGGAAGCTCCGTTACTTCAGATATATGCGAAGAGGTAGCGTCGATATGGACATACTACTGGGCCCAGTGAAGGGCTAGCGGCGGCAGGAATGACCAAACATTTATTTGTTTGATGATATTGAGAGGTGGACTGGAATGACAGTGGTTGAGGATGTAAGGGCAACATCAAACAGAGAGAGATTGAGGGGAGTACTGACCACAGCCTTTCAAAATGCGCTAACTGAATAAATGATAATGAATCGTTTAACAGTAGCAAAATTTTGTATAAGAAGGTACAGAGGGTACATATAAAGGATTAGCTGGGGATAAATTTGCTCTATGCCCCATATGTAAAGATAAAGTCCAGTGAAACTACTTGTTAAATAAAGAATTAAAACAAAATAAAATAAAATGGTTGAGTTATATGACCATAATTCCTGTCTGTCATCAAATAAGCTAATTATTTTTTAGAAACATTTTAAATTTAGATTCTATAATAACTATTATATAGAAATAAGGATATGGGATTTTCAGGTGTGTATTGATCGATTTTTTCTTCTTTTCTTTAAAAATATCTTAAGATTTTAATACGTTTATCTGTCATACAGGCAAGATGATTTTTCCGAATATCATATAACACCGATGTACTAAAACATTTAGTCTAGCGTACTTTATTATTCATTCGCATACTAGAACTTGAACAAAGCTGCAAATTCTATTAATAGGTAAAGCACTATTTTAAAAGAATCCACTTTAAAAGTCTAACATAAAAACAATTATGCTCACTTGTTGGAAATAGAAAACATTTTAAAAAGTAATATTGTTGAAGTGGAACAGTGTATTGTGAGCCATATTAATTAAGAGAGAAATATTCAATTTAACTTTAAGTCCCACGAAGTTAAATGACATTAATTAAAGCCTAACTCTAGTTAATGCTATATCATTTTATCATATTATTTCATATCTTTAAAATAAGTTTTATGTCGGATAGATTTAAGACGTTAATTGTTCAATTAGAGGTGATTTTGTCTTGATGTCATCATCATCCAAATGCTTGTTCCAAAAAACTTGTCAAGTGTAATTGTAACAAAGGTAAAAAGATAAATGATCCAATTGATACATTACTACTTAAAAGTAGAATTTCATCGAGCTTCAGTTACTTGTGTTTATATTCTGTTTGGTAATTCATCAATTTCACTCCGCATTTCGAAACTGTTAAATTCTTTACAAATCTCTATTTCTATTATTCATTAAGAATCAATTGTTGTTAACGTCCACATACTCGAGTGGATAAATAAAACATGGGAGGCAAAAGTAATGTGTTACTTCCTCTTATATACAATAGTTACAAGACATGTCCGTATAATAAGCAAAGTACCAAATTAAAAAAAAAACTCTCTTCTTTTTCGGACCTGCACAACGCGAACTTGATATGATCAAGAATTCAGGTAAGACAACTCAACTCTCTCTCTCTCTCTCTCTCTCTCTCTCTCTCTCTCTCTCTCTCTCTCTCTCTCATACACACAGAAACACACGCACATACATTGAAATATTTTTAATGTCTGTGGTACAAAAATATGGTCTTTATAGTTACGCTTTGTTTTTGCTATCTTCATCATATTCTAAGTTTCAATTTTTATTTCATTGAATATACGAGGATTGCCGTAACTGAAATACGTTATAATATGTAAGTATGCTAGTGATAATTAAGAATGTACTCGAATATTTAGTTTCATTATTTCTATATGGCCACAAAAGGTTGATAATAATTAATTCTTGAATGCAGTTGTTTCATTTCATAAAAACATGCAGGCAAATTTGTAATTTTGTTTGTTAATATTTACTTAATAATTTGGTATTTATATTGTTGCTTCTACTGTAGTGTGCCGAAAATGCAATGTTTAAAAAAACGTTTTATTTATAACCTCCCCTAGAATATTTTAAGGCTCACGAGATAAGGTACTTCAAGATAAAGAGACTAAGTAAAAATATATTATTAATATAATCACCTTTGTTGAACAGCATTTAAGACCGTCAGCATTCTCTCTTCGTAGTCTCGTTGCACTTGGGGAGTCATGTTAACGTGAACTGTTTGTCCAGATTTCCACTTAATGGAAGGGAAATCCTCGCAATATTTGGCGCTCACAAAAGATTCTTTACAAGCCTGACCAAATAAAATTGCCAAAACTTTTAGAATTCTTGTACTACAGTAACAAATACTTTCTGAAATCAAAGAGATATTTTGCATTACTAAATTTATATTTCTGGAGATAATTTGGTGCGTATACGTCTAACATGATGAAAAAATATATCCCTTGATACACCGTCAAACCAGATGAGTTGGAACATTTTAGTCTAGTTTCACATGATTATTAGACAAAACAAGAACGTTGGTATTAGGTTGGTGCAAAAATAATGTCGTTTTTGACGTTAAGTTAAACGTCAAAAAAAAGACATTATTTTTGCACCAACCTAATAATTCTTAGATATTTCTGTACAATTTGGATGGCGGGTTCGAATCCGACGTCAAGTATTTTTCTATGCTGTTGCAAGTGAAGTGACTCTAAAGTGTACAACTCTTCCACGCGTTCAGTTGGAACCCGGCCGATTTGTCGTGGTTAATATTTATTTCTGTTTACACTCAGGTTGTTTTTTCATACTTTCCAATTTTCTTGGTTACATCAATTTTTGCATTTTTCTTGTTACAAGCAATATCATCAGCATACACGGTTAGCCTGGCGGCCAAATCAAGTAGGGTGGCGCGATAAAGAGGGAGATTTAACTTCATTCTGGAGAGGAAACTTTCAACACTGGGACAAAAGAGAAACGTGAACACGTCTAAGATGAATAAATCACAACAATGTTAAAGGTCAAATTCTCACTTTTTCACCTTCAAGTACGGTTCCTAGGGATGCAACACAGCTCAGTAAGACCGATTGGAATTTGTCGGTGAAAAACACAGACTCGGTAAAATGGTAGTTGATTCATCAAAATCCTTTGACCAAGAAAAGATCAATGCTTAATAGCTTCGAATTGTCTTGAATAGTCCAATTCCCATCCTTTAAATGATCACAAAAACACCAGCTTGCTTGTGTGCCATTAGATTTTCCAACCTTTTAAGCTGTGAATGAGATAAAAGACGCTGATAAAGCCATGTCTGCTACTAGGAAAGTTACTTCACTTTGTCGTGCCAGACAATTTTTTTTTGTTAGAATCCATCTTTCACATTTATAGATCTACCATTCGTCTGTTCATTGAATATTGCTACCATATCTGGTCTGCTGCTCCTGTTTTATGTCTCGAGATTCTTGACAAATTTCAAAAAAGGGATCTGTAACGTTACTGGCCCTGATCTGACATCTTCACTTCAGTCATTTTCCCACCGCCGTGACGTGGCCTCCCTCTGTCTTTTCTGTAAATATTTTCATGGCAGTTGTCCTGATGTACTCTCCTCCTAGGTACCTCGGCCGCATAAATTTAAACGTACGACTAGATTGGCAACTAGGTCTCATCGTTTTACTGTTTAATTAGCTTCATGCAACTGCAAGTTCTATTCTAATAGCATCTTTTTCCGCACTTCTCGCCTGCGGAACTCTCTTCCAATTTCATTGTGCCACCTTCAATCTTCAAAAATGTAAATGCATCGTCAATCGTAATTTTCAGTCTTCCTTAATCCTGTTCTTTTATTGTCCTTTCTCTCCTAATTCTCTTTCAGTCTCAGTAACCCTATGCATCTTAGTGGCATTATCGCTTCCTCATTTGGAGGGAAAATGATTTTTAAAAAGAGCAGAAAGGGCTTGCTTGTGACGACACCTAATGTCTTTCGATGTTGATATTGTGGTACTACGAGCAGTAAGTGGCAATTAAATAAGATACCTTTTTTACAGTAAATGTTTCTCGTAACATGTTATTTTTGAAAGTCTATTATTATTGGTCCTTCTTTCGCAGGTATCCCACAATCACCGATTATGCTGTCCATAGAGACAGTATGAAGGTCCTCAATCAATCATACTAATTGGTAATTTCTAAGCACGTCCCACTCCGATGCTCAAACTTTTTCAAACGGTTTGGAATGTATTCCGGTTTATCGAACTGAAATCTTGATTGTATTGAAGTACTTCCAATATTATTATTGTGGTTTTCTTATAGTAAATATTTTGAATTAGTGACAGATTTATGCTTCGGTGGGAAGTATGTCTCTCATCATCTCTTACTGATTTGCTGGAATATAATTTCACAGTGCAATTAACTTTTTTAAGTCGGACTCCTCTTTCTCTCCCTTTGCTCTTGACTCTCTTAAATAGCCCGACTAGGCCCGATACTTCTACAAACCGTGAGATATTGTTACTTATGAGAAAATAAGCTTTTCCTTCGTAATTAAAATCATAATTCTAACTTGTGGAGAATTTGTATGCAAAATTTTATGAAATCTTGCCTTTATGAATTTGTAAAACTTGGATTCAAAGTTATTTAATTAGTTTACAATTTTGAGAGTGACTGAACATTTTTGATCCGTTGAGGATCTGTTCATAAGAAATGTATATAGTGGAAAAAAGACAAAAAACAAAAAAACATCTGCATTAATTTGTCAAACATTTTCAAAGCGACAATTAATTTATCATTTACCAAAATAATCACACAAGCGAAATATTTAGATCAAATTTTTCATCCTTACATACCAATCACAATCAATTAACTTACTTAAGCCAGTTTTATATATATATATATATATATATATATATATATATATATATATATATATATATATATATATATATATATATATATATATATGCATTTCTACTTACAGCACTAGTTCGAATATCAGGGTATCGAGGTGGTACCAATAAATCCATAAGTCCGTCCTGATGTCTGAAGGCTATGCCTTCCAAAAGACAACGAATCTCAAGTCCGTGTACATCGATACCATATCGACTGAGCCACTCTTTAGAAGACATATAATCTTCATTCGGATAATTTTCTTCTTCAACTTCGAACATTTCACTTGACTCGGTGTCTACAGAGAAAGAAATGAAAAACAGGAAAATAAAGCTGAAAAATTAATCAAGTCTTTGTGATATTAATTTCTTCAGCTCCACTATTCCTAATAAATATTTTATAATATATATTTTATGACATTTATCTTTTGTGATTGATTTTATGAGATGAGTAATTTAAGACATTTATTTTATGAGATTTGCTTTATGACATTTATTTTAGGACATTTGTTTTATTAGATGGACACTCGCATTATTTCTGCCAAATCTAACGAGTCCCTTATAACAGGAATTAAGCAATTAAAGTTCAATAAATTAATTTTTTATAGAGATAAGTTTCATCCGTGACTTTGTAGCGATAATAAATATATTTGTTATAAATTTGAACTGTCTCAAAAATAAAAGATGTTCTCTGTAAATCTGTGATACAAGTGTAGTTATTATCATCAAATTATCGTTTGAATTATTTTAAATATCGTTCCACAGAAATACCTTTACTTGTAGGATTACCGTGAGTTCAATCTTGAAATATATATTCGAATACACGGTAGGGAAAAAAACTTTACTTCTGATTCTGATCAAGCATCTCAATTTTAAAACAACATATATGAAGACACACAGACGTGAGACCATGCCAGGTCTACGGGCCTTAACCAATATGCACTTGATCCTGAGTAGAACCATTTTGCATGAAAACTTAGTTGGCTAAAATATCAGGACTAAAGTATGTATATATTTCGTCCGTTCACAATCTATAAAACTTTTGCACTATATCGAGGAAATTGAACGAAAGACATATTTTTCACGTATAAAAATAGGTAACATAAAATATTAATGATAAAATGCTTTTTAAAATAAAATTTGTTGAAACAAATTTTAAAAAATGCATTTTTCCTCGTAACAAAAACAGCGATTCAGCTGTCTTAGCTAAAACAAATAAATTTCTGTCTATATTTCTGAGATGAGGTATTATGTACATTATTTACATTATTCGGACTAATGTCCTCATCTTTGTCGCCATATTTATCAAGGACACATGGCACAGTGGATAAAGGCGTTGGTTAGATCCAGTGACAGGACCCAAAGTTCAATCGCCAGTTAAGGCAGTGGAGAACTTTCAGAGGGTAATTTGCAGGAAATAACTGATAACTGACATCCATAAAAAACTTGGCACGTGGACAGTCTACCCCAGTGAGCGAAATAAAGGGTTCAGTTCGAAATTCCAACCACCTGAAGAAAACTGGAGCGTACAACGGCCGAAACGTTGTGATAAATATGGCGACAAAGATGAGGACATTAGTCCGAATAATGTAAATAATTTTCTCATTCGATGTCCAATTCACGTATAAAAACAAATTCATATTTCCCTTCAAATGTTTGTCTTTATAAAACTGACTTTGTGTTTGTTTAGAAATGTTTTCTGTTGAAAAAATTATTTCTTCATCCAATTTCGATGAAGAATTTCATTTATTAAAAAAATCAGTTATTGCAACTAGCTACATATTTTGAATTAAACATTAATACAAATATGAAAAAGTAGAAAGTAACATTAGACCTACTATTATCATGCCATTGCTATTATTAATAGCAATGACATGATTAATAATTAAGCCTGAGATTCAATCACAACATTGAACACTTATATGGTAAGAATGTAGTGGTTATTTAAGATTATGAATTTATGATGCAGTACTAATTACCGGATATTGATAGTTTGAGAATATATGAATGGATAAGCCTTATAATTGTGCAAGTTGAGAAAAGTGTTGAATGTAATTTTGTAGACCTATACATAGATGAGGGTAGATCAGTGCCAGACACCCTAGCTCTGCGACTAAGCTAGATCTAAATTTTGTCCGGAAGTTTTGTGAATCGGCACACAGTGGAGAGTTTGTATTAAGAATAAATACTGTTTGTTCAATTAAAGGAAAGACATGTTGAAATATATTAGTCTTGTTGCAAGTACACTTATATAACATCTTGGCGTGGGACTAAATACTAAATATTTAAGATATATTTCCAAGTGAAATAACCCCTTTAGCAGAAATGAAATGCAATACTTTGAGTGGAGCACAGAAGAAGAAGAGAGCTGCAGAGGAGTAGGCGAAAATAGGAAAACTTCCCAAATTAACATCATGGTTCAACACAGGTGCAAAGATATGCACTCATAGCATTCCTTCAGATATAGCATCCATATCTACGTCTATTTCCGCCACGAATCATCAAGTTTCAGCAGACATACTATCATTGCCTGTTGCTGCTGCTGGTGGTGACATTTTACAAAAGGAAATAAATAAATCTGTAACGGTAAAGGAGTTTGCAATGTAAGGGACAGGCCCGGGGCTGTGGGACATTAATGATACTAACACAATAGATTACTGAATTCATAGTAGACCCTCATCATGTCAGAATCGTGATAATAATCTTTCAAACTCACAGGAAAGTGTATAAAACAGATGGATTAGAGAATATGAAGACAAAGTATTTATCAAACAATGTGTTCTGACGAGAATGTCGGAATGGCGAGTGTGTAAAGCTTGAATGACTATTCACCATCCCAAGGTCATTTGTACTGCTTTGTATGTCGTCTATTGGTCAAGAAAGAATCTCCCTTTGCTACATAGGTATTCAATAACTGGAAGCAAAGCAATATTATTGTAAAATATGAAAAGAGAGAAGAACATGGAAAGCATAACTGATCAGGCATAAAGAAACTGGAAGTGTATATTCTTTATTATTTGAGCAACATCGCTCAGAACAGGAATATTGACATCAAAGATTGATACGTATAGTTTCTGTAATTCGCTTTCTTGCTTCCAGAGGATTGCCATTTCGTTGATAAAATAAGATTTGGGAGGCAGCAAAAATGGCAACAATTTAGGTATATTAGAGATGCTTCTTTCTTGGAAGAACATCTCAGAATGCATAGAAATCCTGGAAAATATTTGTGATGAATTTATTGAATTAATGGGACAACAGGTTTTTTGTACTAGTCTTGAAGAACTAAAAGAGTCAATGTATTATACAAAAAGCATAGATTCTACTCCTGACATTTCACGCACAGATCAACTTACATTTACATTTAAAGACTATGAGATTGTGTAACATTTTTTGATGTTTATCCCAATCTTTTCTCATGAGCAGATACTGTTGTGGATACCCTTAATGAGAACAAAATTCAACTATCCACATACTGTGGTCAGTCATAAGATAATGCCTCAAATATGTCTAGAAGATATATTGGATAACATGCACGGATTCATCAACTCAATGTTATTGCCATGTATATCCCCTGTGCTGGACACAGCCTGAACTTGGTGGAAGTAAAATCAGCATAGTATTGATTGTAGAATTATTTGACTTTGTTCGGCATCTGTATTCATTTTTTGCTGGTTCTACTCATCGGTGGAATGTATTAACATCATTTCTATGAAAAGATTTTGTGGTCAAGTGTCTGCCTGACACACGATGGTCAATACATTTTGATACTGTTCATGCTCTGTTCGAAGGTTTTGAGAAAATAAAACATGCACTGGATTCTCTATCAGCTGACAATTAATAACTGACAATTGACAACAAAGCGAGGTGCAGAAGAATCAAGCAAAAAATGGAAAGCCTGGTAACAATCTTTCTCACAATTCTTTGGAATGACATGCTAGAACAAATGAACAAAACAAACATGGTCCTGCAAGCAAAGGATTTTAACATTCTTGTTGCTACGATTGTTCTTGAGTCTATGAAAACTTATCTTCAGGAAGCTGGAAACAAATTTAGTAAATATCAGTTCAAAGCGAAGAGTATGTGTCCAGATACAGATTAAACGGGAAATAAAACGAAGTGTGAGTCTTAATAAATATGATAGATCAGCCGAAAAGGTAACTCTAAGTAAAACCGAATAGTTCAAGGTAGCGACATTCCTCAATATTCTGGACATTCTAATCTTTGAACTGACCAAACGTGGAGAGGTTTATTCAAAGATTGGAAATCTGTTTTCCTCCTTCAATGAATTGAAAACCATTGCTTTTGATGCACTAAAAGATGTGAACAACTGAGTAATATGTATCACAAAACCTGAATTATGATGAGTTTTAATTGAATGTGAGCTTTTCAAGCACTATATGGCTCTTGATGAAAATTGTGAGACTCTCATTGTACTGTACAGAAAAATAATTTCGGACAGTTTGAAATTTGTATTTTCGAATGATGAAATTGCGTTCAGAGTCTTCATGTGCATGATGGTGACCAGCTACACAAGAGAACGTTCTTTTACAACACTGAAACTTATAAATAATCTGCTTCGTAACACCATGGAGCAACATCGTTTGAACTGGCTTTCACTTATGTGCATGGAAAAGGATATCCTTATTCCTGAAGACCATTGAATTCAAGCTAATAATAAAGCAATTCTCTGAAAAGAAATGCCACAAACGCTTGGTATAAAAAGAAGTTCATAGTAATTTCATACCGTGGTATCTAACCTGTGTGCTTACTGAATATTATTTTGTTTTTCAAGCCTTGTGTATTGTTCAAATGTTTATCATGTTGATTAGTTGCTGCTGTATAGCATGTTTTTATTGTTTTAACACTAGTTTTGTTCAAGTGCCAATAAAATAAATATATCTTTAATATTATCGACCATTTAATTTTTATGCTTGTAAGTGGTGGTCGTACGGGCCCCAGCACACTGGTCTGCCCAGGGGCTCATAATGCCCTGTCCTCAGCATCCTTTGTCTGTTTCTACTTAGCTTTTGGAATGCATCTTTGGCTATCCCAATGCGCCTTCCGATTTTCCGTCCTCTGTTAAAACACTTCCCAGATATTGAAATTTTTGTACTTCTCCGGTTTACAAATTACACTTTGGTCTCATCCTTTTGCTAACAACCATGCGTTCATTCTTCTTGCAGTTGATGTTTAATCCTTTCTTCTAGCTTTCTTTCACTACCTTTTATAGGAGATTTTGTAGTTTTCTTTCCGTGTCTGCTATCAACACTGTGTAATTTGCATATCCTATGTTGTTAAGATCGTGATCGCCAATAAATAAATCCTGATAGGACTTCTAATTCACTGCTTATTTATTTAAAATGAATATTAATATCTATTCGTCATAAATACATTCTTCATTTCACCAACTAAGCGATTCTTTATGATTATTTATTTGGGTAAATGACTTGAATCAACAAAATTTGAAATCAAATATTGTTTAAACATCTATTCAGCCGTCGGCATTATACATTGTAAAAGCACTAATAAAGAAGTCCTTCTTCTAGTATTTGTGACAAATATGAAACTGTTCGAAAAGTAATTACGTTTTACCAGAAAGGACATAAAAAGAAACCTAAATTAAATTTATTTAAATATTATTTATCCAAAATCACCTTTATTTTCAACGACTGAAGCCAGACAGGAAGGCAAATTTTCCGTTCTACGCTTAAAAAATACCTGGGGCATTCCTTGAAAAAGGTGAAAGATTGTCTTCAAATACTTGTTTGTTTCTGAATGTCTTGCTACTTATGAAATGAAACTACTGGTCAAAAAAAAACGAAAATCTATATCTGTTAAATCCGGTGAGTATGAAAGACAGCGGGGGAAACTGCTATCCTAATGTTCTTTTTTTTTCCAGGATTGCGTGTCCTTAGAGCAGTGTTTCTAAACCATTTTTACTTTATGGCTCATTTGTAGAAAAACTAAAACTCCAAGGCGTATTTCAAATTTTAATAATGAAAAATTAGTCCTGAAATTTGAAAATAAGATAATAATAAAGAAGTCTCTTAAAATAATCATTTATTTTTAAAAGATGATTTTGTGGTTTTACGTATACTTGTGTGAAACGTGTGCTTTTAATGGTTGTCCTTTTTGGTTTAGCATTTCGAAAGTAGATTAGCAGTATATTTTTAATTTAACGGAATTCATGAAGTCTGCTATTTTTATAGAGGCTAATAATGACTGATTTAAATCCTTTGATGAGGGCATAAGTTAAAGGATTATCCACACCTTAAAGATTAAGGAATTTAGCATCGTTTAAAATATCAAATGACAATGACTGGAAAACATATGCTTGGTGTTTCTAAATTTTTAAAAATAAAGATTTTTTAAATATAAAAATAATTCATAAATTACTCTTCTTTTAACTTCGAGGATTCATTAATGTTCCCGGGCGCACCAGTTGAGAAACGTTCTGCTAAAGAATAACACCTTTTCTGTTTACCAAAGAAGGATACTTTCAACGTAATGCTTCGTTTACTCAATCAGGTTGCTGTCAATAAACGCACGACACCTTTAATATTCAACCAAACACAAAGCAAGGATTCTGTGAACTGAATCCTAGTTTTTGTGTTGGCAATGGTTTATCGTTTTCGTTTTCGGTTGATATGTAATTTGTAAATATGCGATGCAAAAAATACGTAATTACATTCCGAACATTCTAATATATTATTGTAACGTTATAAATAGAAAGATTTGGTTAAGTCATTTGGGAGAAACGAATTTTTTTTTTTTACCAATTTCATTTTTTCGTTCAGGTACCAGTTGCTGAATCTTCCTTAAGGTGTTTCTAGCTTCTTCCAGTTCGGCAAACAACTGCACTACATCTTCCCGTGATGCAACACTGGTCTCCTTCTCGGCATTCCGTTTACTGAATAGTGCTTCAGTTGGATATAAGGCCGTGTCATTATTCCCACATGATGAACTTCCTGCAGGTTCCTTGTAAGTCTCATACGCATGAAATCTGTAATCAGAAATTATTTCACGTTAATGCGATGTCAGTGAATAAGTATGAAATAATGTGGCGTTGGGGTTTAAATATCGTCCACGAAACTAAGTTAAACCGAATTTTAGATTACCGTATAAGGCGACCGTCAGATAAGACGATATCAAAAAATATAGCAAATTTTCATGAATTTATCCTATAAGACGACTGCTTATTGATTATATAAATATGATATTGTTGGAAATGTTGTTATTTACTGTATCCTTAGAAATTCAAAATAACCGAAATAACAAAACCGATTCTATATCATGTTTTTCCGACACACGTCACCTAAAAGTGAAACCATTGTTTTGTTGACGTTTCATACCCGTTTCATACCGCAATTATTATTATTATTCCTCCTCCTCTTCCTCCTCTTCCTTCCTTCTTCTTCTTCTTCTTCTTCAGAAATTCTTTAAAATATTATCAAAATTATCAACATTTTGAAGTGTACTTATGGTGAAGAAATATGGATCTTTTCTTCATGTGAAAGTTGCTGAATTTTTCTTCATTCAGTATTTAACGAGTTCCATTTGCGCCAATTTCACACCGTCTCCTTGTTGTCTTCTTTTTCTTTTAATTTGCCTTTATTTTTCGCATTTTTTCAAGCTCTGGTTTTCTGCAGTTATAATATATTATAGCTGTTCTATCTTCAAGGTTTCATTTTATTTTCATGAAGTAGCTGTCACGTGTGTCGTTTTGTTTTCTACATATTTTTGCTTCTTTTTAACTTCACAAAGAGGATTTAAATTCACTTTGCTCGGTTATTATTGGGAAAGAACCTTTAAAATCTGCTAATCCCTTTAGAAGCATTGTAATTAGTAATCTTCTTCTTCTTCTTCTTGAACTTCGGTGTACTAATGGACATTTACTTTTTTTTTTTAATGAGAAATGAATATTATGTTATCTAAATGTTATTACTGCCGTAATTAACACTACCATGATTTTCTCAGCTGAGCTTGCATGGATACAAGTTGATTACATTGATATGAAATTATTCTTTGAATAGGCAAATTATTATTATGACAGTAATATATAAGGTAGAAATGGTTTTATTACTCTTATTATAAGTTTATTTGATAATGTGAATCATTTCATGGAAGTTATTGGCCTGTCGGCAAACATCACTTAGAATCTAAGGTTTATTTTTTAGAATTGTAATATGAGACGATTCCAAATTTTTAAGGGTGATTTGGGGGATATTTCTGCGTCTTATACACAGAAATATACGGAAATTCGAATAACAAGTTTTTTAACGCATCCCAAATCTACTTTACAAGATTAAGCAACATTTGTTATTGTAAAAGATGTAGACAGGAAACTTTTCCAAATCTTTAGACTTATTTTCCTCTTAACTGATACACTTGCATAAGTAAAGCATTTCTAAAAGAATATGTACTCATTAAGACATGCAAAGAAAGCTATAATGCCTTCCTTAAGATATCGCCAGCATTTCAAAATATTGCTCTGCTTTGAGTTGTTTTGATCAATTCGCTAAGACACAAGTGACTACTGCAAGTGAATGAGAAAGAAAAAGAACTTTAGAAGGAACCGAAAATCCAAGGAGAAACCACTACTCTCATTCAAAAGACCGGAGAAGAGTGTGAACCGAGCGATTATTTTTGCTTCACGGAAAGGTTTAGTCGCTGATACTTTTCCAAAAGTTTAAAAAGAAAGGATACTATTCATATTAACAAACTACATCTGATTTTTTTTATTAATTTAAAAACAATCCTCGATCTGGTCAAAATTATAACGAATTTGGATGAAAGAAACTGAAAGTCAATGTAATGCTTTTGGGAGGTAGGATTAGCGGCTGATATTTATCAAAGAAAGTCTAACAATTATAAAATTATGTTGATATATATTTACTATAATTGCTTTGTGATAAGAAAATTGTGTTTAAAAATAATCGTCAGATCAAGATGCATAAATTTAACGTTCACACCCTTGACTTCAAAATATGTTTTGTCCTGTTCTTACTACTACTACTACTCCCACCAACCTACATTCTATGTGACAGATTAGATATAAAATCTTGATATCTTTTAATGTCTAAATCTTGTTTAAAATGAAATATTTGACCCAGCACATTTTATGATCTTTAAGCGCCAAAACACAAGTTACTACATTTTCGTTAATGTTGGATGGTGGATAATAGAGCATCTTAAGCCTAGTGATGCTGAGAATAGGACCATGTGTAAAAATACTTGACTACCGGCGAAAAATTCACCTTACAAATATTTTCTTTTGTTAAAAAGAAATTTCATTTTTGCAAAAATTGATCTTTACTTTACAGAAAGTACAGAACGTCAAAGTATGGAGTTATTAATTAGTGTTGCTGCCTTTGGCTCGAATATATACATCAATTCGATGTGCCATTGAATGGAACAAAGTCCAGAATTTCTCATTTAGGATTTTTTTTCCATTCTTCTTGGCAGTAATTCCTTAAGATTCTTCAGCTCCCACCACAAGAATAAAATTATATTACTAAGTGTTGGCCAATTTTCCAAAAGTTGAGTATCTTCATCGGCATGAAACTTTTTCGTTGCATGTCCTGTTGAAAATCTTGATATACTGGTAGATTGAACCGTAATAAACTGATATAGTTTAGGTTGCTATCAACTTTTACCAATTTTAGGTTGCTATCAACTTTTACCAATTTTCTTCTTCCATTGGTTTTGATGCAACCCCACACCATTACGTGTCCACCACCAAATTTTATCGTCTTTGTGGTAGATCTTGCATTTTTTTCTTTCTCCCACTGGTCTTTTTACATACTCTCTTGTAACTCTATTTCGAATTCATCCATAAAAAATATTTTCCACGTTCCAGATGTTCTTTAGACAATTTCATTCTTCTATTCCGATGTTTATTGATTAATGATGTTTTTTTTCGCGCAATCAAATTAGTTTTTGTTTTCGTAATACTCTGTGTACTTGTATGAAGTGAAACCTCGGCTGTTAAATCTGCATTCACTCGTCATTTGTCAATTTTAGATTGCCTACCGAGATTCTTCACAATCTTTCATCTCTTTTGTTTAACTTTTGTGGTCTTCCAGTTTTCTTTGCACTTAAAATATTTCCAGCAGTAGCAAATGTCTTTTGGATGGTTTGAACACCGTTTCTCGAAATTTCCAACCACTTGGCTATCATCTCGCGTCACAAATTTCATCTTTGTTTCAGCAGAAATTTTACTGTAAAAAAGCAAACTAATATTCAACTACAATGACTTGCCAAGGCATTTTACACAAGGTTATAAGATGGAACGATTCTTATTTAAAAATGTGCATATTTCCATGCCTTCAGATCATTCACTGGCCCAATAATTTTGCATGGACTTTTTTCAGCATCAAGCTGCTTAAAGCTGCGTATCTTATGTTGCACAACACCTTATTTTCCAATCCACAACATCAAAAGTCATTACTAATAAAATCATGCGGCTAAGCAATCTTAACTTCTTAATAAAATAAAGATGCATAATTATTTTATGAAGGTGGTCCAAAACTTTTGCACGGCAGTGTACACACACACATATTTTCTGTTTATACATTATTTTAATAGATACTATTTATGTAAGTAAATGCTCTGTTTTTTTTAAATAAACAGTGTTAATTACATTTACCGGCCTGAATGTCCAAAAAACTAAAAAAAAATATGCGTTCTCCGACAGGAATCGAACCTTTGTTCTATACGGAACTGTCAACTGATCTGACGTGCTATACCACTCAGCTACACAGAAGCGTCTGGTTAGTAAACTCCAAATTACTGTTTATGAACAACAAATCTTCGACGATCTTTCCCGAAAGATCATATCTGCTCATGAAACGTACCTTAACGTAAACATTGCCATCATATTATGAAATAGATTAAGTTCGACAATTATTCAGTATATGACACACGTTCGACTTCTATCGGAGAACGCATATTTTCTACGAAATTTCTCAAACATTCAGGCCGGTAAATGTAATTAATACTGTTTATTAAATAAAAAAACTTAGCATTCATTAAAAATAATGTCTAAACAGAAAATATATTATACACACACAGACATATATATATATATATATATATATATATATATATATATATATATATCATGAGAGATATATAGAGAGAGAGAAAGTGAGAGATAGAAGATAAACCGAAATCAAATGGATAAACATTGTGCTCTTACTATTTACATTCAAAACAGGAAAATGTGTAAAAGTGAAAAATGCTATGAAGGAATATAACGAACGCATATCTGATGCCCGGAAGTAAGCATTTATTAATTTTCATTGGTCATAATAATTCTTTTTGTTTATCATCCTTTTAGCGACAGGAAAATATTTACTTGGCTGACTCGATGTTTTCGAAATAATTAGTTACTTGACAAAATATATTAGACAACTAACTTTCGCGATCGTTTATTTCGTGTTGAATTTGAAATCTCTTTTTCGGATGTCATAAATGCAAGTTGTCCCGCTATTTTCACAGACACAGAGAGCGTCAGTCATGATTTATTACCTCATAACAAAAACATCTCGTGCGTCGAATGTTTTCAAACTGTGATTTAATAATTAAGCTCTTTACATATTGCCTTCTTGTAAATTTATTGCATCGACAGATGAACAGTATTCATTTATTATCGCTATAGTTTTAAGGAAATTTTGTAAAAGTGATCTCGAAAAATAATCATGGGTAATAATATTTACGGAAAAATACAAGAATGTTTTGAACTTCATTGATATTTCGAGAATATAGGAATGAAAAGACTTCGGAAAATAACTATATAAAAGAAAATTCTCTAAAAATAAATAAGAATAACGTCTCTCGAAAAATAAACACAAAAATCATCCTTTAGAACAAGAAATATCATTGATATTACGTGTCCTTACAAGTGAAATCTATCTCTAATTTCAAACTCAAACATCTATCGTTAACATCATTGATATTTACAATCTACTTGTACAATCTACCATCGCTAGCACCTACAAGTAATGTCTATCTATAGAATCTACCATTAACATCGGCCTTTAATATGTAATCTCTAACATATACCAGTAATAGATGCCTCTAATATCTAATATCTCTAATATCTAACACTAAAATCTAGCCTCTAATTGCACACTTTTGCATACGCAATGAGATATATAGTTTGACTGCAGTACTCACAGCTTACCAAAAAGATGCACACGTGTCATTTTGATTTTTACATGTGCACAAATAATTATTTGCACTGGCAACCATGTAAAACAAAAATACAAACTGTAAATGTAAGTGTTCACTTACTTTTCCACACCTTAACTTCTAATTAATATTTTTATTCTAGTTTGATAAACAATTTGTAAGTGGATCTAATTGATTTAATAAAGGTTTTTCTTAATGAATGTATAGGTTAATTAAGATTTGTTGGATATCTGGAAAAAGAGAAAATTATTTTAAATATTATCTTAGGGGTTCACTTACTTTTGCACAGCACTGTATGCCACTTGTGACAAAGAAAGTGATTTTGAATATTTTCGAAAGTGAATTTAATTATAGATTTTCTATCTCTTCCATATTATCTACTTAATTTATAATCAAACGCATGTGTTACTTTAACAGGAGAACGATAAAAAAAATGCTTATAAATAAATAGATAAATGTAAGATTTAGTTCATGTTTTTTCCTGTTATTAATAGCAATGTATATTATGGGACATATTGTGTTTTATGTTTAGGTTTTAGATACCAGTCTTTCAATAATATCTGCTAAAGACTTAATGTTTCATCTAATATTTTTAGCGTGTGGTTTAGAAGGAAAGCTGTGTCCATTTTTACCGAAATTTATTTTGACAGAATAGATTTTATTTTCTATTAATATAACCATCTCACCTTCCACCGGCTTCCTGGGCAAACTTTTTCAAAAATACCAATATTTCTTTGTCATTACAGTTAAAAGTGTTTACATGAACCGGAATACTTTTGCCTAATTGGAGAACCTGAAAAAATGATAGGAAAATATGTAAATATGTTGCCACAACCTAATGAAAAGCTAACTAAAGACTAACTCTAAATCACATAACTCCAAAATAGACACTTTAGGGGTGATTTTCATGTTGTTGATGATGTCTTAAATGGTTCATGAGATCTGAAAGCCATTCCACATTGGAAGAGTCTTCTGGCTGACTTACACACTTAGTCACAAACGTTGCATGAAAAGTCTTGCTGAGTATCATATTGATAGATGGGGGTTTATGTCCCCGTTTGTGGTTGAAGAGGTCAGAAGACACGGCCACATTCATCACATAAGAGGGACTCCTTTGTGCTTCTCTAAGAAGGTTGTCGTTTTCCATATATCTACAGGTTGTTTCAGCTCGGCGTGATCAACTCTGTTGTTCTCAAATTTTTCAACATCAACTAACAATTAGTGAGTCGTTTTGCTACAATCAGCGCCAGGCATGTCGTATTTTCCACCATTGATCTACGTCAAGAGTAAATTTTTTGAAGTTGTAGATACCTCGTTAGCACCGTAGACATAATACACTTTTTACGAGGAAGTCAGTTATAGACATTGTATGGCGAACTCATCATACGCGACAGAGAAGCAGTCCATTAGGAGCTGTAGTCACCAGCGCAAAGGAGATCATGAATGAGAGTCATAAATGTTTTCGTCTCTGTAGCGAAACAACGGATGTTAACTTTCCTGTTGTACGGTAACGGATATAGATGCTGGCATCGCTATGATATTACCAGTAAACAAAATGCTCTGTAAACCATTACAGTATATCAAATGGCTTGTTATTCCCCCATAGGGTATCGGGATAACATCTTTTCCCCAATAATGATACCCAAGTACCGTGCCGCTTACCAGAAGAAACTGAGTCTCATCAGACTTGGTGATCTTATTCCTCTGACACAAAGTCCAGTCCCATTTATTTCTGATTGATTTGCGGCTACTCAACCTTACACATAACAAGGATTGATATACTCTATATTGGGATGCATTCCTTCCTTCACTTTGATTAAAACTATCGGAAATTGTCAACACAGTATTCATTTTGTTGGCTCGTACTTGTTGGGGAATCGTCCGTTCACATCTGCATTGATAAGTCTTGGTCGCTCAGTGGATTGTTTTGATGGTTGGTGATTCTTCCCTTTTCGGAAAACTAGCTGTAGGTATTCACCACAACTTGAACACCCGATAAACCATATTGTTTAAGAAATTCTATGATCTATTCTGGCAATAACAATCAAAGTCACTCAAATCTTACTACTTGCCAATAAATATGGCTTTGAAGATATCAAAGTGAAGTACTTGAAGCCAGCTTACTTGATTATATATCATGATATGCGCAGGTCTTATGAGAAAAAATATATTAAATAAATAAATAAATATTATATACACACACACAAACACACATACACACACACACACACATATATATATATATATATATATATATATATATATATATATATATATATATATATATATGATTGCTATTAGCTTACCTTATTCCTCAATAACTCTTGACAGGCGTTGACAGCTGCACCCTCACACAATAAATAGACAGATTCCAACTAGAAATAATAAAATCTGAAACGTTTTACATATTAAAATATGACGAATGTTTTTTAAAAAAGTTATTAGCCAAGTCGATACAAAATTGAACGTTTGCAAAATCATTTGTTATGGTTTCCTCATAAACCCTAGTCGGAACTTGAAAAATAGATTAATCGTCAAATATTTTAAGACAGGAGTTGAAAAATATTTGAGCATATCCAAAATATGCTAAAAATTTTTAAAACCGAAAAACGTTATTCAGGTGTGGCCAGGTCCAGTTGCCTGGGGTAAGTAAATACTTGATTGTTCTTTTGCTTCTTCATATAATTGAGAAATTATAGTTCTTAGCTGGCTGACAAGGAATGACTAGAAAAGTAAATGGTAAAAGAAAAAACTTACCATTTTATCTTCAAGGGCTTTCAAGACTGCTTCGCAAACAGAAGTGGATGACTGATGTATCGGGAGAGATACTTTCTTGATCCATTCGATGATTTCATGTACGGTGTCGTGGGTTATATGAACACTTTTTTTATGGAAGGCATGACTATCGAGAGTAGCACTGAATCAAGAAAATGGATCGTAATAGTCTATTAAAATCTTTCATGTATTTGCCAAGCTAAACAACATAATCAAAGAAACTGTACACACACATATATATATATATATATATTTATTAAAGACATTTTTATGTTTAACGTTCTTTTTATAGATACAAGTATTTAAGTAAATGCTCTGTTTATAATAAACAGTATTAAATAACATTTACCGGCCTGAATGTCCGAGAAATTTTCATAGAAAATATTCGTCCTTTGACAGGATTCGAACCTGCATCCTATACGGAACCGTCATTTACGCTGACGTGCCTTAACCGACTCGGCCATAAAGGCAAGTTCGAATTTACTGCTTATAAACTTCAATCTTCCATCTTTATAAGCAGTAAATTCGACCTTGCCTACCGACCACTCCTTTTCATCCTGACGCTTTTTTCATATATATATATATATATATATATATATATATATATATATATATATATATATATATATATATATATATATATATATATATATATATATATATATATATATATATATATATATAATGGTGTAGTTATTTATGCTTTAATTTCAGGTATATAAAAATTACCAAAATAGTAAATTATATAAAGTAATTGAGTGACTGGAACACAACATTGGAAATTACGATAAAATTTCAAAGAAAAAGAAAAAAAAGAAATTGAAAAATCGGCAAGGGAACAAAAAAAACTGTAATTAAGACTGTCACAAAAAGATAACTGTGAAAAATTAAAAAGGCTAATAAGCATGACACGTTGATCTCATTTAAAGAAGTTGGACTTTTGAATATAGACACAGAGAAGTGGATTTCAAATTCTAATGAATTGAATCGTTCACAGTTTATCCAAATATTAATCCAATAGAAAAGCCGTAGTCTATCAATAAAAGACATGTATACAGAAACTGAAAACAATATTCGAAAAGAAAATACCTTAGAAGCAACAAAAACTGTTGAAAGTAAAGCTAAATTTAAAATAGTAAAAGAGTTATCAAAACCAATGGTTGAAAGACAGATAGAAATAATATTAAAGTGTAAAATAATAAAATAGTTTATTCAGGTGTCTGAAATATTAGGCTAAATATGTTTCATGGTATATAGCTTTAAAATTTATGCCTAAATTAAAATGTTTATTGCGCATATTTTTTACATAATAAAGCCAGGCACCACCGCAAATATGTTTAAATGAGGATCAGTATTATAACTGAAACCTATATGCTATATTGCTCATATAACTATAAGTATATCCTGAATATTTTACCAAGATCACTTAAGAAATATCAATTGTGCTGAGTAATCATTGACTTATATAATAAAATTTGGCATTGTGTTAGGTACGGATACAAGATATTTCATTCGAATAATAATAATAATAATAATAATAATAATAATAATTTGTAATAATCGCGCTGAGGTACACAAGCAAATAGAGGAAGATAATGTCGAATATGAGAGAGTAACAGAGATGGCAAAAACTTCTGATATAAACGGGAGAATGTAAAAGAAATATCTTTCGAGGAAAGGCCGACAATTCCAAAAGTAAGAAAGAACTGTCAAGTGAAGAAAAACATCAACCTCGCTAAACAAGCAATTAGAAAAATTAGGGACGAAATGGAAAGACCGATGAACATAACAGAAATTAATTATCTTATACACGCGGCCTCACCAATGATCGCAGAAACAATAGATAAAAACTATAAACACAACATAAACGAAAAAGAAAAATGCCCGTTTGGAAAGAAAAAATAGAAACCAAAATAAATAAACTACGAGGACAACTGTCAATTCCAACTGAAGTAGACACAGGCTCCAAAATGAAAGAAAGCAAGAGGAGACAACCGAAATGAAGCCTTGACATATAGAATGAGACGTACCAAAAGTTAAAGAGAAGCTTAAAGAACAAATTCAAGCGAAAGCACAGAGGCATTATGAAAAAACATGATCTTCAAAGAAAATGCCAAGAAATTATATCGAGAACAGGGAAAAATAAAATACCCTGGAAGTCGAGGAGTTCTGCTGCAATATGTAGGAAAACTGAAAAATGCACAATAAAAGAGCTACATAGATCAAGCAACAACAGGAACAACACACACACATATCTTTTTCTTCTTCTATGTGACGTGTCCCTTCAGAACGTAGGCGATCATGGCTCTCTTATTGCTCTCAATAAAATTTGTCTTTTTGCTACACCTCCCAGACTTCTGTTATCCACTTGCTTAAGCCTGATAAGCGTGTCACGCGTTGCTTCCCCTTGTGCTTGTTTCCCTCTATCTGTTCTGTGAGTATCAGATTTTCCAAGCCCTCTTTTCTCATTACGTGTCCCAGAAATTTAAGCTGCTTCTTCCTGATGTTAAGTATGTTTCCTCTTTGCTTGCATCCTCTCCAAAACCACATCGTTGCTCACATGTTCGGTCCATGGCATCCTTAGCATCCTTCTGTAGAACCATACCTCTGTTGCCTCGAATCTCTTCTTCATCTTTGGGGAGACAGTCCAACATTCGTTGCCGTAAAGGAGGACAGATATCACGTAGCAGTTCAGTACTCTTTGTTACCAACGAAATCCTCCTGTCTCATAATACTCTGCCTAGGCTTTTTGGAATACGTCATTGGCCATCACAATACGTCTTCGGATCTCACCCTCGCACTTACTGCCCTCTGTCAGAACACTTCCCTGATATTTAAATTTCCGCGTCTGCTTCGTTTTAGTGTCTCCGGTCTGTAAATCGCATTTCGGGTTCATGTGTTTGCTGATTATGCATTCTGTCTTCTTGTAGTTTGTGTTTAATCCCTTTAAGCTCTCTTTCGCTACCTTCTATAGGAGGTTTTGTAGTTTCCTTTCCGTGACTGCTATTAGTACTGTGTCATCTGCGTATCATACTGTTAAGATTGTGGTCCCCAATGATGAATCCTGGTAGGATTTCCAGTTCTTTCAGAATTGCTTCGCTGTAAAGGTTGAATAAGACCGGTGAGAAGACACGCCCTTGCCTTACGCCTCTTTCTATTTACTGTACTCATTTTTATCTTTATGCAGGCGGTTTGTTGCCAGTATAGGGTTTTGATTATTCTAATGTCTTCCCCGAATATCCCAAAGTTGCTGAGCATCTCTAACAGTTCTTTGTGGTGTTTTTTGTCGGGTGCCTTTGTGTAGTCTAAAAACACAGGTGCACGTTCTTCTGCATTTGTATTGCTCTTTCTGATAACATTCTAAGAATGAATATCGCGCTCCTTGTTCCGGTGTCATTAACGAACCCGCATAGTTCTTGTCCTATCTCTGGCCTGATTCTGCTGTGCGCACTGTTCATTAGAATACGGATGATGAGTTTTGTTATGTGGCTCATTAGGCTGATTGTTCAGTGGAGTTCACATTCTTTTGCGCCTGGTTTCTTAGGCAGTTCTATGAAAATAGATCTGCTTATATCTTCCGGTATATCCCCATTGTTGTAGATTTCATTTATTATTTCTGTAATCTTGTCTATGCCCAAATCATCAAAGGCTGTCAGCATCTCTGTTACAATTCTGTCTTTCTCTGCCACCTTGTTGCTGTTCAATTTGGTCAGTGCAGCTTCTACTTCGGTTTTTAGAATTTCAAGCCAGTCGGCATTTCTGCGTATTGCCGGTTGTTCTCTTTCGCCGTGGAAAAGTTCTCCAATATATTCGTTCCAGCGCTGAAGAATTTTTTCCTTCTCTGATATGAGCGTTCCATCCTTGGATTTGTTAACAAGTATGCCTTCTTATTTATTTATGCATATCTTCTTTTTCTGTGGTACTCAATCTCTTTATTTCTGCATATTGTTTTAGCCACTCTTCTTTAACCTGCTTGCATTTGGTCCATATTTCGTTGTGTAGTTTTCTGTATTCCGTTCTGTATCTTAGCAGAGGTTTCTGTCTCCTTTGCATCATGTCGAGAATCTCATCAGTGATCCATTCGTTTTGTCTTCTTCATCCATTCTCCTTTGGGATGATATACTTTACCGATTTTACTGAAACTTCTCTTAATGTGTCCCATTTCGAGTTTCCATTTCCATTTTGTCCTTCGTATCTTCTTATAACACCGTCCATATATTTTTCCTTAATTTTCGGGTCGCTCAGGAATTAGTTATATTGCAATGTGTGTGCTGCGTTAGGCTTCTTCAGTTTCCGTAGTTTCACTCTTACTTTACATATAACAGGGCGATGGTCGCTTCTGCAGTCGGCCCTTGGGTATATTTTGCAGTAAACAATTGCATTCCTGAATCTTTTGTTGATATTTGTGTAGTCAATTTGATTTTTAGTTTCTCCTCCTGGGCTTCTCCATGTCGATAACCCTCTCGGATGTTCTTGGGAGCATGTGTTGGCTATTACCTTGATATTGGCTGTGCACCATTGGATCCATTTTTCCCCACCTTAGTTGTGGGTTCCTAGTCCAAATTTGCCAGCTACCTCTCCTGCCCTCTCCCTGCCTACCTTGGGGTTCAGGTCTCCCATGATAATTATGACTTCTTGTGATTTGAATGAGGCTTGGCGTTGTGTAGCATGGAGTAGAAAGATTCGATTTCTTCTTCCTTTAGAGTGCCAAAAATGAACGGATATCAATATTTACTGAAACAACGACACTACCATCTGCAAAACCCAAAACTGGAAAGCACCAGGAAAATTACCGAATAGTTAATTTTTGGATAAAAACACCAGCCACGACCTCGCACGGGCATACAATGAAATAATCATAAAAATGTATATAATCATAAAAATGTATATAATCATTTCAAATGGCTCACTTGGGGAGAAACATACCTACTCCCGTAAACAGTAGAGACGCAGAACCCGAAGAGCTATAGGCCCATCACCTGCCTACAAACAATGTACAAGATCTTCACTTCTATCATAACTGAGAGGACATACAACTTCCTTGAGAAAAACAATTTACACCAAACAGGACAAAAGGGGTGTAAAAGAAAAAGTTATGGATGCAAGGACCATCTAATGATTAATAAAACAATCTTGTAAGAGGTGAAAACAAGGTAATTAAACGTATCGATAGCATGAATCAACTATAGAAAGGCGTTCGACAGTGTACCACACTCAGGGATAGAGAAGAGCCAAAATATATACAGACTATGCCGCACAACGGTCAAATTCATAACGGAGACCATGAAAAAACTGCAAGACTACACTAAGTCTAAACCATACAAACGGGTCATTAACACTGACACCAATCAACATCGGGATCTCCCAAGAAGATTCATTGTTACCACTACTCTTCTGCTTTGCATTAGCGCCACTCAGATGCCTACTGAAGAACAGTAGCTACGGATACAAGTCACAGTTTCTTACGACATTATTCCACAATTATTTCAAATTGAAAACGTGATCTTGTTTTTAATTTATCTCAAAAGGTAAAAAAAATATAATAATGTATTAGAAGAAACAATCATGAATGATTATTGTACTCAATTTACAGTGAATGAAATGAAGGCTCATATTATTTACTACACTTGACGGGGACAATTATAATCGTTTCGATAAAGAGTTTTATACAAAAAAAAAACAGTGAAGGAATTTGTGATAGGAAAATAAGTCACTAACGATAGATAGATAGATAGATAGATAGATAGATAGATAGATAGATAGATAGATAGACTCACAATATAATATTGAAAGCTTCCAGTCGAGAGACTTGTTCTTCGACAATTATCTGAAGTGCTTTTTTCAACATTTCGAAACTTGGCTCGTGATTGGTCGTGCTAGCCACTACAATGCAAGTACGCTTCTCTTCAATGACGCCAAATATCCTCCTACTGCCTGAGGTTAACCAGTGCAGACGCTCTTTGAGATGTCCCGCTATGTTTTGCAACCTTTTCGCAACCTGTTCTAGTTTTTCTTTGCAGCAAACAATCTGAAATGAAGTGTTAAATTAGTAAAAGAAAGTTCCATACAATTTACCTCAGTCCGTAATTTGTATATTTGTTGTTTTTACTTAATTCACTGAATTTTGATGGACACGGAGGAGAGTTAGCTTTATGCCGATAGGGAGATATACGAATTTTATCGAAATCAATTTTATTTAATTTCTGAATGAATTCGAACACCAGGGGTCTCAGAAACCAGTCTCTTTTAAATAATGCCAAATATTTTCTGTTATACCAAGAAGAATTGCTTACGTTTAGGATTGCTATTGATTATTCATTTTTCGACTGGGTTAATTAAGGGCTTTATGACAGCAGTAAGAAAAGAAAGAAATAGATGTCTTTATTGATATTAGAAAGCTTTTAATTTCTGCAATGTAAAATTCTAAATGACTGAAAATGCAGAAAAATAGTTTGTATTAAGAAATCTTTCTAGTAATTCCGATTCATAGAAAAAAGTATTGCTTGCGATGAAATAGGCTTCGAAGATTTACCGATATTTATTGATTAGACGAGTGAAGCGTCACGTCCTGTTGCGTTTCAAAATTATCAGTTTATCATTGAACTTTCTCTTACCCTAATCTGTCGCCTGTGGACTCCTAATACTTTTAGGTATATAACAGTTAAACAGGTGAGTGGAAACCACTCGGTGAGTTGACATCTCACTTTTTGTGAATCACAGAATTTAATGAGAGTGTATTTAAAGACTGAAGACGGTACTATATACGCCTTACTTCACTCTGAATTTCATTGCACGGATTTGAATAATTTGCACACACACACACATCCCAACGTTTCAACAAGTCCTAGATCACGACAGTATAGTAGGAACGGCTGTTGTAGCTAGCAGTGGAAGCTTTGGTCCTAATCCTGAATTTAGACGATTAAATATAAATTTGATTATAAATAGACATCTAATGTTGAAACCAGACATGGTTATAACATCCATCAACACACCAAGTGACTAAACGGCCTCATCTAGAAACAGAAATGCTACTTTTTCCATAGAGAGGAGAGTATAAAAGGTTGCCTAAGAAAGTGCATGTCTATACCTCCTAGTAAGCTTACCGTGGCTATTGGAAACACCAGAATATAAACACAGTACGCAGAAATAGCGTACAGTAATTCCCTTTAAACTTGCTAAGTTGGACGTCGAGATCAGAGCAGTTAAGTCTACTTCTATTGGTCTAGCAAAGTGTAAGTGCTATCGCACTTCGACTTCAGAGAAACTTCATCGTACGTTCCGCAGTGTATATGATTCAATACTCCATGTGGACCCCTAGTAGTAAAACAATCTACGTGAAAGAAACTATGCTGCTGCCCAAGCTAATAAAGTTGTAATATTTGACAGTGAAACTTCTCTGGATTAGAAAAGTTTTTTCGAGAGATACTGTGTAGGAAACTGCAATGATAACGGGTGTTTCCTTGAATTCTTTCGCACAGCACAGAAACACACTATCAGGTTTACACTACTAAAAGAGACATATACACTGCAATTAAAACATTAGCATTTCTTAGATGACATTCTGACATGACATAAAACTGTTTAGCACAACCAGTGCATAATATTAGACAGGCTGTTCAAATCTGAAAACTGATAATATCAGTTCATTTTAAATGAATTTAACAATCATCTCGTGCATGATGTCATCAAAGCACAAATGACAAACGAAAATTTAAATATTGGAAAACAACGAAATTCTTCAATTTTTTATTAATCTTGATAATGGTTGAATCATGGTTAAAAGCCGCTAGATCACAAACAGTTGCATTCATTTGATTCAGACGTGTTCACTTGTACAGAAACATGTTCGAAGTAAAATAATATCTTCTTAAATACTTACGTTAAATGTGTGTCCATCTGACCTGAAAACCTGTGGAAAGAGACCATTCGCATATCTGGACGACACTGGTTTCTTCAATGACAGATCATAATCTGCAATGAATCAATTTGATATTTAAACAAATTTGCGAAATCCAAGGATACAAAAGTCATTGAAAATACATGGATAAAAACGGTTCTGAACATGCGTCACACACAAAAGAAAATATCATCAATAATGGAATTGAAAAAGGATTAAACTTTCGCAAAAATCATGAGATGAATTATTAAAATATTTTCATATATTTATTTTTATTTATATTATATCATTAATATATTTTATTATTTAGACCTATTATTATTATTAATATTATTATTGTTGTTGTTGTTGTTGTTAGAATTAGGGACAAAAAGAGAAAACAGAATAAAGTTTTTATAAAGAATCACTGTTTAGCAGAATCTAACTGGAAAGGGATGCGCGGTTAGTGTAATGGCTATAGCACAGAATGTGAAATCGATGACCTTAGTTCGAATTCTGGTCGATTCTGTTTCGTGCACTTTGCTAATGCACTTGGAAAATCATAAGACCACATTTCACCAGCTACAAGTTCAATAACAAGACAGACTGAGCTCTCTTTCCTTGGGGTAAAAAAGATGGGAAACCCAGAAGAAGTTTTAAAAAGGAGGAAAAAAGAAGGGTATGCAAAATGATCCTGATAAGAGATGGTCTCCGTTATCTTGCCAGAGACACACCACGTGACGTCCTGACGTGACATAACAATCAGTCGATTAATTAACAATACGTACGAGTGAAATACAATACTTTGCAGGTTAGTTTTACTTTAAATGATTTCATAATATAATCTTCCAATAAGACAAGAAACAACTATCTAATATACAATCATGTTATAAATGGTGTTCCCCAGTTAAACAGTTTTTGTTCCTCTTTTCATCAGTTTGTCTAGCAGTAAACAGACAGAAAGACACACGCACACATACATACATATATATATATATATATATATATATATATATATATATTCATGGAAAAGCAATATATATATATATAAATAACAACAAATACAACTTAAATGCAAGGATGAATGTATAGTAAATTTAAAGGAGAGTGGGAAGTCAAGAAAAGTAAATGTATTGTAAATATAACAGTGGGGTTCTAAATTATATTTTTTTTTTATCCAGCCTCATATTCACTTAATTTTTTTTTATATATGAAGGAAAGGACGTAAAATTTCGGATTTGTGGTTTAAAAGTTTTTTGTATCCGAAAATGTCATAATTGGCAATTATTATTGCTGTATGGTTTTGCAAAGCCATACAACTATATCATAACTGCTTTTGCAATCTATGTCAACATGAGTTATATATATATATATATATATATATATATATATATATATATACGGTGCGATGGATAACTTGTCATTTAAATTACGCAAAAAAATGAAAATAACACTGACAGCTCATTTTAACAGATATATTTACCAAAATTACATAACAATATTTTGAAATACTAAAGAATAAATTGATTCAATAAAATTGCCCTTGGTTTCAACCACGGCCTCCAGACGACTTCGGAATCACCTGCAACTCTTCTGGACAGTCTCCTTGTTTAAGTTGGTGAATGCTGCCATAATCCTTGATGTTACAAGGAGTTTTGCTGGTGTCTCGCTCAACTACGCCCAACACACAATAATCTGGGGAGTTAATTGGCGAGATGTAAGGTGAAATGTGGTCACAGAAATTGTCTGACAGCCATGACTGGGTTCTCTGGCTTGTGTGGCAGAATCCTGTTGCCAAGCACAGGGTCTTCTAGCAGATACTCTCTTGAGCCAGAGCAGCACCACCTCCCTGAAGGGACTTGATGTTGGTCTCCGTATTGAATCTGAGGCTCTCACCAATAATTTCACCCAAACACTTTGAAATGTTCATATTGGAACTTCCGACGCGAATGCCAAGCAGTACAGCATGTTGTTCCCAAATTTTTAGTGTGGTGAATTGCCTCATGGTGCTCTTTTTCTCAAAGATGAAACCCAACTTACTCTACTATACTGTGCAGTCGACAAACTCAAAAACAAACAATACGCATGCGCGAAATTAAAAATATAAAATGGCGACAATTTACCCATCGCAACGGTATATATATATGTGTGTGTGTAATTTTTATACATAATATCATATATAATATCAATTTTAAATGTTTGTTAATACCGTTTGTTAAACATCTATCTCTTGAATAAAAGTTTTTTTAAAATATGAACACACTATATGTATGTATCTTTGTGGGTGAGAGAGAAAGGGAGAGAAAAAGAGAAATATTTTCCTTTCTAGAAAACGTGCAATAACATCCAAGATGAAGCTGACTTACCGTCTGAAATTTTAAAACCAATTTTCGGCAACAAATGGAAAAGGTTAAGTTTCTGTCTTCTCAAACCGTTTACCTGTAACCATTTGCTTGTGCTGACCATATCAGTGACTCCTGAAGAAAATTGTCGTTTCTGGTCGCTATTTCTGTTCCATCCTGACAAATTCGATTGATTTTCAAAATAGCACGCACGACCAGATCGGCTGCCGATTTTAGATCTCGTAGCCATTTATAAGATGAATCGGGTGTTCCTTAAATTTTAGAAGACATATCAATACCAAGGAAGTTTACTGAAACGGAAAAAAAAATGAAGAAAAATAAGGACAATGAAATAAAGTTGATTCAACATCAAAGAGAATCATAATTCAAGAATGAAAAGAAACGGTGGTCAAGTGGCATTCGAACACACACAATAAGCGTTTGTGTTATTTGAATTATCCAATCAAAATGCAGTTGACAAGTTTAAGCTTTTTCAAGCATTTATTCAAAATTAATGGATTAGAAATTTAAAGAAAAAATTACTATATTTTATTTTTCTACAGATCAGATTTCATATATAAATTTCGATATCAACTCAATTATTCCGATAAGTGGTAAGATCATCAGGATACTCTTTTGGGTCATTCACAACATTTCTGGGGCAACATTTGAGAGTTATTATTCTCCGAGTAATATGAAATAGGTTGTACTGGTAATAACAATAGTGGTGGAGAGAGAAGGGGTTTCACATTTTTTAAGAAGCATTAAAGCGAAATGAGCGCAAAAATACGGTCTTTAAAAACAAGTGAAACGAAACTTGTTTCAACTTGTTTTGGGGATTGCCATTTCCCGTACTGTTAAGCCTACACTTTACAATTTCAAATATCTAACGATGTACTCGGTTAAATAAATAGTGATTTATCATTCAATATTTATAATGCAGAAAGATTTTACATTATATTATTTGTTTTGTATTTTGTATTTTGCTCAATACATGACAATAGTAAAAAAATGTCCAGAGAAAAAAATTAAGTTAATTCATTACTTATTAGTTATAGGCATACGTCAATTTCAAAATTTTATCCTTTTCTTTTTAGAAAAATATTTTATAATCGAGTTCGACCCAAGCAAGGCAGTAAAGTTATTAAGACACTAGATGTTACTGGGTGTGGAAGAATTAGAAAACAGAAACATTAATAATGAGTGAGAACAAAAGAGAGATAATCAGTAGAGTAGGAGGACAGTAGATAATGATTGACTTTGCATTTAAATTTTTTAAGATTAAAATTGACTGGAAAGCATGGAGCTGGAATGAAATCCGACAAGCTAGAAATGCGAGGAAAGAAACTGTTAGCTACAGCTACATCTAGCCAGTTCAACTCGAAATTGGTGAGACATTATCGCCAGTCTCGTACTACGCTTAAATACATAAAGCCTAGGTACCATAGCGAAGAGCTTATCCGAACAATTACCACGAAAGTATTTACAGAAAGGGCACAGGGAGGCAACTTTACGACCGTGGGAAAGTGACTGAATCCAAGACGCAAAGAACAGGACCAATATTATTGCTATTCCTTCTTTGGATTTTATCAAGAATTTCTCGATAAATAGCCGGAGAACTGGACCATATGTGGCAGCTATATTCTAAGCATGGACGAATGGTAGACTTATATATATGTGTACGATAGATTCTGAAGAGAAAAATTGTTTAGAACAACACAGTGAACCAACTTTCCGAGCAGCTGACATAGCAATGGATTCAATATTGTCTTTCCACTTTATGTCAGAACGTTAGACGGAGAAGGCGTAACGAGTCGCTCTCCTGGAGGTTAGTATCAGTCATGTCAGACAGTCATGAAGGCAGAGAGGGTCCTCTCAGATGATTAATAGAGAGCTATTTAGTTTTGGAGGCGTTAAAACTTACAAACCATCCTTTACCCCAGTTAACAACAGACTAAATGCCGTTTTGGATATCAGCTGCCAATTTGAACTTATCAAACTGATCAGGCTTACTATTGAGACAGGAGTAAACGGTTGTGTCATTAGCGTAGATACCAAGCTGAGAGCTGGTATCATCGAGAAGGTCATTAAATTTTAAAATGTTTTTGCTTTGTAACAAACAATATATATATATATATGTGTGTGTGTGTGTGTATGTGGATAAAATTTTATTTTAAACAAGGCTGTGCAATAAATATATGAATACAAATTTCCTAATTGTTGATATATAATAATTTTCTTTTTTCAACTTCTTTTTTTATTCTGAATTCAGTCTAACAAAGACAAACCTGAATCCTTTTAGTAAGAAGAAGATGTATATTTTTATTTGAAAATAAGTTAATTTATTAATGGTACTGCAACAGGTAATATTTTAATTTTCAGAAGTAATTTTCTTTTTTCAAATTCTAATCACAGTAGTACAAAATAATGTCGAGTAGAAAGAATGTCTGTTTGGAATTTATCCTGATCACTTACAATCTGTTCGACAAAATCTTTTCATGATAACGGAATTCAGCTCTCGTGAAAAGAAATGCAGTTTTATAATGTTTTAAAATATGAAAAAAATAATAAGGATACCTGATGAATTGTAGATTTTTAATGATTTTGACAAGCTCACTAGAGATTTAATGTAATTCAGTAAAAAAAATAGTTTTTCTTAATTTTTGCCTTATTGTAAATCTTACCGAAGATGTTTTTTTTTTTTTGCATTTATTGATTTATTTATAGATTAGAAAGAGTAAATTAGAAAAGCCATACTAAAAATGCACCTGTTTTGTTCGTTGTGCAACCATTGAAATGATACATTGCAAGTAGTACATATCTCGATGGAATCATCCGTAAAAAATTCTCGCAGACGGAGGCTGGTATGACACTCCTGCAGCAATAGTATTGTAAATGTCCATTACATCGAAAATGTGGTACATTTTTCAACAAATTAGGAGGAAATAAAATATTCTTGAAATTCTCATTATTAAATCTGTTGGAAAATTTTTATAAACATTTATTTCCGATTTATCCAATGAATGAAATCTGGATACTGAGACGAAATTTGCATAACTTCTTCAATAATTGACATATCTTTTTACTCTTTAATTAGCTTCTCATTCACTGAATCAATGTATATTTAGAATTAGAAAGTAACAGTTTTAAAAAGTGGCTATGTTTTTTAATGATAATACCCACGGATATATATATATATATATATATATATATATATATATATATATATATATATATATATATGTGTGTGTGTGTGTGTGTGTGTGTGTGTGTGTGTGTGTGTGTGTAAGTTCAAAACAAACAAATTAACAGACAGGCAGTGGCAGAGAAATGAAGTCTGACTTAAAATCTCTTTTACTCAATTATAGGGTAAAATATCTAAATATAAAATTTAATAATCACTGCTTATTAATTATACAATTTATAGTCGATAAGTTTTCTTTTTTTCTTGAAGGAAAGGGTCTACTTTTTCCAGAATACAAAGTGTTGGAGAATAGAACTTTGAACTTTGTCTTAACAACAAGGACATGAAGGAGTGATTCAACTACTGGACGAACATTAACAATATATATGAAATATTTTAATTGATTTATATGTTTTCATTTAATAAAATAGTATCTTAACTTTTTTAAGCTAAGATAGTATTTGATTAAATGAGAACATATAAATCAATTAAAATATTACACAAGAACATTCCTAATTGCCTTTTAATATGTTTAAGTTGCATTTCGGGATTCTGCGAATAAAAATACAAAACAAAAAATGAATAGATATCACAGTTCCTTTCTCAGATGAATAACAAATATTGCCACATATTAAACAACAAATCTGACACGAACAATTGACAAATTACCAACTATACGCATTAAAGTGTAAAGAGAAGTTGTTTAAAATAACAGCAGCAAGTTCATTTCATTCTTATTAAGCCAGTTGTATTGATAATTACCTTTAATCTTCCATGTATGTATTTTTCATGAACACGTAGCACACCGTCAAGAAGCTTTATTGTTTGTTTTTGTTGTTGCATAGCAACTTTGTTTTACGTACAAACTATCAGCACCGAGGAAACTGTTCTTGTGTAATCTTCACACCTGTCGACGAGGGGAGACAAGAAACATGGTAAAAGTATGAACTGGGAAAGAGTAAAACAATTTATACACATTTTTAGATTCAATAAATATAAACAGGTTATTAATACTAGTTCGATACCTGTCGATTCACTGATGGCAAAATAATCAAATTTCATATCTAAACTGCTTGTCCATTTAAAAACTACATTTATTAGAAAATATAGCAAGTTTAAATACAGAAGATGTCGTAAAAATGACTTCCAACAACTGCACATTACAGCTTATACTCTTTTCCTGTTAACCAGGGGTTACTGCCAGACACAAAATGAAATTAGCGCTTGTGACACAGATATCCAATTTCATTATTTCAATATCAATTTCATTCAAATTGTATGCGTAATTATGTTAGCTTGTGTTCATGTGTATTTTAATTTATGACAGACCTAAATTTCTATAAAATTATATTAAAAATACTTACAAATTATTTTTGTTTAATACTGATATTGAATCCGAAAAGTTCAATAAAATCATCTACCCTGATTTTTAGGCTTTAAAAATTGATTTTTTTTTCTATACTCATGTCTCCAAATTTATGATTTTATTATTTAGACCAGTATAGACTTTGAAGACTGGGAAGAAAACGTATTATTCCAATGTTTTATTTAAAAAAAATGTATGCATATGTATGTAATGTGCAGTTGTTTGAAGTCATTTTTATGACGCCTTCTGTATTTAAACTTTATATATTTTCTAATATATGTAGTCTTTTAAATGGACAACCAATTTAGACAGGAAATTTGATCATTTTGCCATCAGTAAACCGACAGGTACCGAACCTGTTATATTTATTGAATCTAAAAATGTGTATATATAGTTTTAGTCTGTCTCTTTTGCCATGTTTCTTGTCTTCTTCCGTCGACAGGAAGATTACAAGTCGCACAACACAGATATACATAGGCGCATGCGCAGTCACATGCACACATGCACATTGTTCGTCGGACAGCGAATCAACTCTTCTTTTATAATAGAGATTTGCATGAAGAGGTACTTTTGT